CTAGATTGAAGTGTATCAAGGTGCATTGTTTAATATTGAAAATAAAAAAGTGCCACAACTTTAGTTATCTGTCTTTTAAGATTTTCTTTTAATGAACGAACACTATTTTTGTGCTTGTATTAATTCAAAAGTAAAAACAGTTGTAGATGAGAACCAAACAATTACTTTCTGCAGGTTTTATGAAATTAGATTTAGTCATTTATGAAACATTAATAGCACAGACAAAAAAAAAAACCACGCACACAGAGAGACGTGGGCAAAAACATTATCATTCCCGTGGGTGATAATTAGGTTTATAACATTTATTATCTAATTGCATGTTTACCTGTTATGACTAACCTCCCAGGCTTTTCCTCACAGTTTTACTGAAGCACTTTTGCTCCATTTGATTTTTAAATGCTTGGTTCTGACCAAGATGGTTATTATTTTCACCAATAATAAACAAGCCGGCGCATTTTCCCCAACAATACCAGAAACTACATAACGTCAACCAGACCATTCCCCTGCAGCGGCACCGAGACGTGAGTATTTGGCCACGTGAGGCTAAATGTCAACCAGGAAGCCCACTGCATCATTCTTGAAGACTATTTATATAGTTGCTGGAGACGTTGCATAATCCCTCAGTGCAGAAATATTACTCCAGCTTCAGCTTTGTTTAAACAGAAACGATGCTCTTACAGTGTCCTTTATTAGATACTTTTATTTACACAAAAACAACATAAATCAGTTGCTTCTGTTCAGAATAAATAAACAAGGAAAGTGTGAGGATCTGTGTGTTATTTGTGTTTTGGTGGTTAGATGTTCAGATCCTTGTGTTTGTGTTTTCCCTCCTTGTCAGCTCATCTCACCTGTCTCTAATTCTAATCACACCAGGTGTTTGTCGTTGTGTCTCGTTAGTGTCCCTATATATATATTCTACAAATGTGTTTTTCCTTTGTCTGTGGATTGTCCTCCTGAGGCGTCAGGCTCTGGTTCCCTCTGTGTCTCCTCATTCATGCCCACTGTAAGTTTTAATGCCACGTCAGCATTTTTATTTAAAAGTTTTCTTATTTGATCCTTCAAGTTCCCCGCGTCAGTCTGCATCTTGGGTTCAAAAAAACACCACAGATCATGAGAGAAAGCAGATTAAAAATAATGAACTTGGTTCTAAAAAAGTTAAATCTGGTCCTCTGGACATAAAAAAAAAAAAAAAAAAAAAAAATGTAGAAACGTTTCGTCTCTCATCCGAAAGACTTCCTCAGTCTGAGGAGCTGTATTCAGCTCAGTCTTATAAATAGCACCTTCTCAGAGTGGATCAACCAGTTTGCTGCTGACAACCAAAACCAGCTGATCACATGCTCAAGAAGGACCATCAGCCTAACAATGGATCATTAGCACCTGATGGCTGTTCACTGTTCACAGAGGGCTGAGTGATACTAGCAATCACAGCATTGTAAGAGGGGGACAGTTGAACCTGGAGGCTCCACCCCTGTTTAATGATGGACGATTTCTTTTCACAAAGATGGCCTCCTTTACTCCTCTCTCAAACCATCGTTCCTCTCTATCCAGGATGTGCACATCTTCATCCCTGAAAGAGTGACCGCTGGCCTGGAGATGAGTGTAGACCTCAGAGTCCTGGCCTGATGATGTTGATCTTCTGTGCTGGTCCATCCTTTTGGCCAGTGGCTGTTTAGTTTCCCCGATGTAAGACTGATCACCCTCCTGACACTGAACAGCATACACAACATTACTCTGTTTGTGCCGGGGGACTGGATCTTTGGGATGAACCAGTCTTTAATGTATTTTGGGGTTTAAAAGCCACTGGGACGTTATGTTTAGAAAATAAACGTCTCAGTTTCTCTGATACTCCCTCAACATATGGAATGACCACTGGTCTGGATCTGGGTTCCTCCTTTTCACCTGTTGGCTGACTGGAGTCCTGTTTGGGTTTCTTCTCTGCTTTCAGGAAGGCCCAGTTAGGATATCCACATTGCTCTAGAGCCTGTCTTGTGTAGGATTTCTCCTTCTGCCTGGCTCCTGAGCTAGTGGGGACGCTGTCTGCTCTGTGGTACAGAGTCCTGATGACTCCTAACTTGTGCTCCAAAGGGTCATGGGGGTCACCAATTTGAGCCTTGACGTCATTTTCAGGGACACCACCAAGTCATTGGTTCAGGTATGTTGACGACACCTGGGTTAAAATTAAATCTCCGGAAGTCCAACATTTTACTGACCACATCAACTCTGTGGATAAATACATCAAGTTCACACGAGAAGATGTAACAAAATGGCAGGTTGGCTTTCTTGGACTGTGAGGTCTCAGTCTCTGATAGAGGACATTTGCAAACTGAGGTGTACCGCAAACCCACCCACACACAGACCAGTATTTGCAGTTTGACTCCCATCACCCTTTGGAGCACAAGTTAGGAGTGCACTGGACTTTGTTTGCTGTAGGTTTGGAGAACTATCTCATGAACCTCTGCACCCACTTCGATTGTTACCACCTATTTGACGTTGTCAGTTATCATCCCCATAGTTTTCCTTCAGACTGTCCCTCCTCTACCTCTTAGCAGTTTCAGTAGTTTATCACAGATTTATAAGGTTAGGTTTATACTGTATAGGGATGTAATTATAGTATATTGATGTACTGTATATGAATTGATCTGATTTTTGCTCATATCAAGTCAACTAAAATCCAACCCTCATATCATATTGAGTGAGTTCTTTTTAGATACCAAATTAAAGCCTTATGACTTAAATCTGGAAAGCTTCTACTTGTACATACGTGCGATGCTGCATATTATCAGCATTAAGAAGGTACAGTTAAACCTACTAGGAGGTAGAGGAGAGACAGTCTGAAGGCAACCTATGGAGGATGATAACTGATAACGGCCGTTTAAATGGGCTGATAACATTCGAAGCGTCTGACCTTCGCACATATTTTAACCAAACTCTCAGAAAGTAATCAACAGATGAACACATGCACATGATCAATTGAACACAATCACATCCAAGATGGCTGTCACAGCTAACTTAACACAAACATGCTTATAACTTGTCACTAATACGAATATTGAGATAAAATGTGATTTTTATTTTATTTTTTGTAGCTAAGAGTCATTTTGATTATGAAATCTAACAATTCTGTGAACGGTTGTTGTTGATGTGTTTAGTTTTCATCATAACTATTGTAACTTCACCTTTTTTCATCACCTTTTATCGAGGCATGGCCCAGATTTTAAATAAAGAGACGTAAAACTAACAAAGTGGACATTGAGCTATGGAGACTCCCCTGCGGCTCAACGTTAATAACTATTTTTTAATATATATTATTGCAGAAATGACCGCACCAAACACACGCCGTCATTGTGGGACCCTACTGGTTTGTTGTGTGCAGTTATTTGATTGATGCCCCCCCAGTTTCATCAGATGGACTGAGGTGCACGTTCGCCTGCACCAAATGTTCCAGAAGGATTCATGAGCACTTTCTTCTCATCATCAGGAATTATTCCTGTGTATTTGCTTTGGTTAGGTTTGTGTTTTTACTACCACTTGCAGTAAATCCATTATGTTAAGCAGTTTTAGTTGTTACTCAAAGTGGTTGTTTTTTGTTTTGTGCTCTGCTTTGCTTTTTTAAAAGTGTTTTCACTCTGCATCTGTATCTCCTGCCGCCGAAAGACAAAGCGGGACAAAATTATTTTGTCGGTAAGTTCAAAACATTTCATGAGCAAAGTGACACATTTTAATCAAACTTGCTGAAAATAATCACTGAATGTATGGATGATGTGATGGTGGCCACAACGGACATTAAAAAACTCAAACATGGCTGTAGCTCTGTCAGTTTTACAGATAATTACCTAAAATATGACGTGGTAGTAGCTGAGCATAGTCTCAAACACATACTCAGAGTGCTACAAATCGTGCAATATTTTAGTTAAAAATATTTGTCTGTTAGCGAAATATTTCATAAACCACTGGATAGATTTTAATCAAATGTGCAGGAAATAATCACGAGTGCTCATCCACAACATTGTTTGGAACTAACCCAGTTCAAAATGGCCACCGCAGCTATTGAGCTCGAAGCACTAACATGGTTATAATTCATGTTATAGTAGTTATTGTACTAAGATTTTAACTGAGTCACTCTTACTCCAAGTGATGCTCTTTGCTTAAAACTTCAACAGCATCTCTGAAAGTTACCCATGTTTGTCTGTTAGCAAAATATCTCACGGAAATCATAATTTCCGGATGTGAGTCTATTTCACTTTTGGAGTCAACACAGTTCAAGATGAATGCCACACCAAAACAAATAAATAAATAAAAAAGCTTCAAGTTACTTAAATTTGAACTTTTTATTATTATTTTTTATTTATTTATCCACATAAACCGTGCGTGATGGTGTCTGCAGGTTTCAGTGCACTTTGCTTGTCTGGGGGATTTCGAAGGATGAGGACAAGCAGAGGATAACGCCACCTCTGCGCAGAGGAGGAGGAGGAGGAGGAGGAGGAGGAGGAGGAGGAGGAGGAGGA